TTTTTTTTTTTTTTTGCCAGTTCAGTTTAAAAAACATCCTCTACCTGGTATCTCCGCAGTGATTGTCTTGCTGCTCCCTGAAACTTCGTCGTCGTCATCCGACGAGCTCGTGCTCGAGTCACAGGTTAGGTCACTATCGCTGGTACTGCTGTCCTGCAGCAGGTTATACTTCTTGCGGGCGGCGGCCTCCCGCTTCTGCCTCAGTAGCCGGATGCGCTCTTTGTGCTTTTGGCTCCGGTGACCTTTGACCTTAGCGACGCGGCCGTTCTGCTTGTCGCTCGACTGCCGGTTTTTCTTTGCAGCCATTGTCGAGGTTTCGCTCTCCGATCTGGACCGCCTCGATTTCCTCCCGACGGTCGACACGGACATGGCGGAAGAGTCTCCCTCGACTGCCGTCTCAGGTTGGCCGGGAGCATTCTCTTCTGCAGAGGAGAGCGTGTCAGAATCGGCCAAATGGCCGCTGGATGAAGGGGACAGCATGCAATGGTTGGAAGAGTCACTCTCATAAACGCGGCCGGCCGTCGGCTTGTCACTTTCCGTCGAGGCCAGCTGAGATTCGGAGGAGTCCCGTCTCAGTTCCATCAGCAAGCAGGGCATCGAGGCAAGGACTGCCGAATCCTCCCCCAGCACTCGGTTCTCTTTCTGAGCAGGCATATCCAGTTCTATAGATCCCTCTTCGCCCAGAGCTGGCTCCTGTTTCTCTGAGAGTTTGGGTGGGACTTCTGGGTCAATGAGTTCTTCTGTTCTGTCTGCTGCCTCCATCTTCATTTCAGAATTTTAAGTCTCTCCTGGTCTCAGAGGATGGACCCAGAGTTTTGTGGAAATGCAAACTCACCTAGGGCTTCAGCAGGAAAGCAACCTAAGGGAAAAAACACATACAGCACATGAGTGAGCTGGTAATGAGGACATCTTTGAATAATATTTCGTGAAGAGTTTTGCAAAGTAAAGAAGCAGCACCCTGATTATGCCAAAGAGCATGGCAAAGTAAAGAAGCAGCACCCTGATTATGTACAGTGGAGGATGTACAGTGCATTCAGAAAGTATTCAGAGCCCCTTCATTTTTGTCTATTTTGTGATGCTGCAGCCTGATTCTACAGCTGTTGAAAGTCATTTTTTTCATTAATCTACACTCAGTACCCCATAAGGACAAAGTGAAAACAGAATTTCAGAAATGTCTATGAATTTATCAAAAGAAAGAAACTCCCTCCCAGTTCTCTTGATCGTTGCTGACATGTTTCTATACTTTATAATTTGAATACTGACTCTCCCCACTTATCTCTATTTTTACAATGGGGTAAAAGTCAAGAAATATGTTGCTTTTGTAATATCATCAGATGAATCTATTCGATATTCATGTGTAACCATTAAAAAGTTCTACAGTACTATCAGCTACTCCATTCAGTTTCCTTGGGAGCTAACCACATTAACGACTGGAAACCTACAACCAGAACCAAAAGTCGCTCCCTCCTGGACTCTAACTGACGTTGAGTTTTTCAGATATTCATTTGAAGAAATTCTAATTTATCTATTATCCCTATTTTCATAGCTTCACATTTTGGCAATTTGCGAGCAGAAATTAATTTTAGCCTAGATTCTCTTGCCAGGAGCATTTGGAAAGCAGAATAGGGGAAAATTAGGGTAAACCTTGGTCTTCTAGAAGAAAAAAAAGTCAACAATGGAAGGTACAACCACCCGTTAAATAATTTGGATTGATACACAACTCTCATCTGATATAAAAACTGGAAATTGATCCAAGTACTTTTCTTTCTTTCTTTCTTTCTTTCTTTCTTTCTTTCTTTCTTTCTTTCTTTCTTTCTTTCTTTC